GTGTCTAAACGACTGTAATAATGTTGTGATTCTATTTTTGATAGCGGGGAAGCGTTTTGAGGACGTTCGGAAAGGGAAAGCTCCGGAGAAGTGATTTTGGAGTGCGTGTGATTGGCCTACAGGTAGGCTATGGTTTTCCCTCTCTTAGATTGAGCTCGAGAATGTGAATGCATGTTGATTAGTTGGGATTTGGGTTGGGTAGTTATTGAATCCTACTTAGGTTTTAAGAAATCATGTTTTCGGCCTATTTCGGGAATTATCGGGTAACTGTGAGCATGCTTTGTGTTATTAACGGACCCTCCTCGCTATGTGGAGTGCTTGCATGCTTAATTATTATTTATTTGAAGCATGTTGGGCCTTAGTTTAGGTTTGACTAGGGCTTGCTTCAGAAATACATTATTCGAATCCAATAGGTCTTAGTTTTGCCCCGACGTCGCTCGGCCGACTTAGATCCCTGTAGACTGGTGTAGCAGACTTGAGTCTGATAGTTTGGGCCTTAGTTAGGTGATACTCTTTCTCCGACTATAGTTATCCTTATTTTCCCCGATGTTACGGCTTCACGAGTTACATCGGCGACACTAGTTCTACTTCGCGATTTGAATTTGATTTTCGATTTGGTTCCAAGGTATTTTCTATTGATTGGCTATGTGTGGACGGCGTTTCGCAGATATTTATGAGTGTGGATCGATTAGGACTCTTCTAGCAGCTACATTGGCACCTTATAGAGCATCCGGTTCGAGGTCCGGCCTCTATTGTGTCAGATTCTACTAATTAGGGTTGAGGTTCTAGTTCGATGTTCTTCGTTCATGGGTTCTTTTATGCAATTCTCTTTAGTTATAGTTATTCTGTGTACTCGTCGGGCTTATGGGGGTCCGTTCGGGTTTTTATTTAACTTGCGCACGAGTGTACCTTCTGGGCTTATGGGGGCCCAGTTAGGTGTAGTTAGCTTATAGATTACTTTAGTTAGTTCTTTATACACTCGTGTGCATTCCTTTGTTAGTTAGATTTTAGTTCTTGACTTCGGTTTGTGTTATTCCTTCTTTTCATCTTGCCTTTACTTTTCAAGTTCAGTCGGCCTATGATGCCTACTGGGTACCAGTTGTTTTGGTACTCATGCTACGCTCTGCATCTATTTCGTGAAGCAGGTCCGGGCACTAGTAGCCAGCGTTGATCGAGCTTGGAGCAGACTGATCCGGCAGTTCTTGGCCCTCGGTTTGTATTATTCCTTCTTTTCATATTGCTTTTACTTTTCAAGTTCAGTCGGCCTATGATGCCTACTGGGTACCGGTTGTTTTGGTACTCATGCTACGCTCTGCATCTGTTTCGTGATGCAGGTCCGGGCACTAGTAGCCAGCGTTGATCGAGCTTAGAGCAGTCTGATCCGGAGAAGGGGGTGAGCACACGGCGTTTTGTACTATTTCAGTCTCCATCTGTATATATAGACTTGCTTTTCCTTTTGAGACAGTCCAGTCTCTGCTGTCCACTTTTGGGACTTGTACTCATTTTGTTAGTAGCTCTGTACTAGTGACTTCCAGGTTCTGGGAGGGATCTTTATTTGTATATATGTTTTTGGTTTGCTTCCGCCTGTTTATATTGTTATTTTCCTACTCTTGTTTAGTTTCTACCCTCAGACCCATTACTTGTTGTTCCGGGTTACGAGTTGGCTTACCTACTGGTGGGTTATAGTGGGTGCCATCATGACTTGAGAAATCGAGTCGTGACAACTTTACAGTGCATTAGATTTTAATTACTTTCCAAAATTGTAATAGGAACATGGAAAGTAAAATATTACATAGATTAAAAGTTATTATTTTTCCTTTTTAAAGTTTAATAAATTTGCTTTGCAAAATCTACATAAATTGTCTCAGATTATTAGGATAATAAATTTAATTAAAACTTACAGGGAAAGTTCTGAATTCATTATTCCTTTAATCATCTATTGGAAGATCACTCATATCGTTATGTTTGACCTACATTTTCAACAAAAGTAATCGAAAAACTAAAATAATTAATTAATCTAGTACTCCCCAGTCCCTTGGCTCCATATAGTTATCCACATTATTAAAAATAGTTTTCCTAAATTATTAATTGAGATAAATAAATTACATTACCCCATTTACTCTTACAATTAATTCTTTTTGCAAGTGTAAACTTAAAAGTAATAAACTATTATCTTTCAACAAAAAAATTGTATTGCAATTCAAATTTCATTATTTTATATTTTAATTCAAATGATATGTTATTACTAGATATAGTAAATTGGAATAATTAAGTAGAATGACCATTTGGTCAAATGTTCTAATAGAAAATAAAACGATTTTCAGTTAATTCTATCTGGTCATTAAGTAATCAATAGAATGCCCATTTGATTATTTATTATTATGTTTGTGCCTACTCAAATCTTCTCCGAACACTTGGGTAAGTTTAAATAATAAAATTCGACATCTTCACAGCTGGATTATTTCGAGTGAATTATATATCTAAAGAATAGAAATATGGAGAGGAGCTAACGATGTCTGAATTTTAGGATTGTTTAGTGGAGATTTGAATCGGATGTTCATTGAAATCTTTCATTAAAACGTTTCAAACCTCAAGATTTAAAATTGATATGCCGTAAATATGAATTGATCATTGCTAGTGAATATATAATATATTAAAAGAATTGAAACATCGAAATTTTCTTATATCTATAATTTAGGACTATTTAGAGGAGATTTGAGCTAGTTGATATTGAAAGAAAATTGAACTCATGAGGAAGATGTGTTGTAATGTATAAATATCATATATCTGTGTTTGTGATTATTTATACATATTTAATATGTAGTTATACATCATACTTATATACAATCTTACACTATTTATAAAATATCGATACATTACATATACATACATGATACAACCATTTAATTAATAAGAATTTTGGTCAATGATACATTTACTTGAGAAACCGTAGTAAATATTGTCCTAAAATTTGGAGTATTACAAGTATAATTTCATAACATTTGTAATAATTGATTTCTTCTGTTGTAATATGTTAAGCCCATCCATTATTACCCTACAAGATGCACTATATGTTGTGCAAAAAGAATGATGATACACAAATATGTTCCTTTAATTATTATTATTTTTAAAAAAAAATTCACATAGTGTTTAATATCTGCATGAAAGTTCAATCAATTTGAATCCGCGCCTATTAAGACCTCACTCGAACCGTAGCGCTTAATCTGTACATTTTCCAACAATTTTTCTTTATATCAAGTTCATTGGATATGCTTTGAATGAAAATAACTCAAAATTATTAAAAATAATTAAATGTAAATATTTCTTTTTGAGATATCAAATTCATCTTTCAACCATTTGTATGAATATTCTTTTCCAAATTTAATATAAATAGCTTTAATTTCTTTTCAACATAAGTTATAAATTTATAAATCAATAAAAATCGAATAACAATTCTATAAGAAGGAACAACAGAAGATAGAATGAAATAAAATAGGATATAGCTAACAAGACAATTGTAATTCATTTTTTTTTTAAAAGACAAATTAAAAATAACACTAGTGTTATAAAATCATTCAAAAGCCCAAGCATTGTCTTTACGGATCTCTCCTTCTTCCTCTGGAGTAAAATCCTTTAATCCTACCGGCAACTTCTTGACATATCATATCCAATATCTCCTTATCGTTAAGAAAATTAGCACCTAAGATAAGATCGTACAAAATCGAGTGGTGCACCTTCACAAAAGCCTTGTCAAAATCCATCAACATGTCTTTGGAGACGCCTTCCTCCGAATGTTTCTTCCAGTATTCAACCGCTTTGGTCATTGTTTTGCTATGGACATTAGGCAGGGGATTGACGTTTGAAACACAATCATTTTCAACCATATTCTTGATAGCTTGTGACCTTACTAATATCGCCTCGTCCAGTACAAATACCTTACCATCACAAGTTGTCACGCCCCAAGCCTACACTCTGGGCGAGACTGGCACTCGAAGACCATTGCTAGCCCCAAGCGAACCCTTGGCCTAGCTTACTTAACTCAGTGGAAGACAATATGCATATTAATAAAGATCAATAACACTTAACTGAACTGAATACTAAAATAACTGAGAATGCTTAAAGGTGAAACGTTCAACTTGGCCAAAAGTGGCAACCTAAGTCTTAACAATAAAAATGATAATGAAAAGACTCAAAGGAATAACATTTGACTGTCTATGAAGTCTCTAAAATAACTAAGATGGATATTGGGACAAACCCCACAACATCCTAATGAACTAACTAGAAAGCAATGAAAATAGATCCTCCGGAATACAATAAGGCTCACCGACTGACTCTGAATTGCTCACTGGATCAACGGTGCACTGGAATGCCGATCCTAGTTACCTGTGTCTACATCATAAGAGATGCAGGCCAACTAGCATCAGTACATTGAATGTACGAGTATGCGAGTTGGAATGCTAAAACAACATAGGCTCAAAAGAGATTCTGAAAGAAACACTTACCTTGGCTCTTCTCAACTCATGAATACTTAACTGAACTCATTTCAATATAAACCAGTTTAAAACAAGTGCAATATAAAGAAAACTGTTTAAAAACATGATGTCAACTCTGTGTATATACAAGGATACAACATAACTTTGAAATGTATGTAAAAATACAATAGAGTGATATATATAAAAATACAATAACTTATGTGGGAGTTTCTCTAACCGACAACCATCACATAAAAGTTATAGTGATGATACAACGATTAACCTCACGCTGCCAGAGCATTCTATACTCGGCCAAAGGTACAGAATCTGAACTGCCTAATGGATCCACTAGTCTATATGAAAAGGGTTCACCTAAAAAGTATGACCATTTTCTACCCATGATGGCTACATGGTTTAAGGGGGCTGATAGTTGTATGAACTCTTCCCCATCGGTGCTCAATACTACTCCCAAAATATACTAGCTCTTATGCTTTTAAATAAAATAAACTTCTTCTGTGATTTGAGAATAGTGCTCAAAAAAAACTATCCCGAAGGCTCTTTGGAAATCTCAGTTTCCGCTCTTATTTAAAAAAAAAAAACATTTACAAATCTCTTTGGGAATACATAGTCCCCATAAACTTCTTTAAAGAAAAGAACTTCAACTTTACTCTTTATTGATCTCAAAACTTAAGTCTTAAAACAAAGTTAAAACATTTGTGAAAGACTTTTGTAAACTTTAAGAACTTATCTTAACTTAACTTTTGACTTCTCTTGACTTTGACCTTAACTGCTCTTGACCTGACTCTTATCTGATCCTTGAATTGAATTATGGATTCAAGGATTAAGATTTGTGACTAGAAAGATCTCATGATGTTTAGGAATGATTCTAGATAGTTAAACATGAGAAAAGACGGAAAATCAATATTTGAAGGTGGGTCCGCGACGCGGAGGCATAATTTAATTTTGGTTCCAATAACATCTTTTGAGGCAGAACACCTCGTGTCAGCTCCGCGACGCGAAGCTGAAATGTTCAACTGGGCACTAGGCGTGCGACGCGCGACCATCCTCTAATTTCGTCCGACGAAATTTCTTCTCGTTTTCCAAGCCCAATTCACCTAAACTTGATTCTTTTTCTCAAATTACTTTTAGATACATATACCCAGCAAATGTACCTAAGAGCCTAACTCGAACCGGCCTTATAATGCGACGTAACGAACTCAGAAACTTCCCAACTCAGTCAAATTCAAGAACAAATATATGAATTCAAGAATAGGTATCAAGATCATCAATATTCAAATGCTTTTAGGACAAATCCAAACTGAAATAAATATGCTTGGCACGAGGGAGAACTATCCCAATGTTATGAGAGCCTCACATACTTAATAGAAGTAAATCCTTGGCGAAACACCAACTTTCTTGATCGATCTTGATGAATTTGCCCTTTTCTCCTTCTTCTTTTCTCTTCTCCTTTCTCCTTACCCCTAGCGTGAAATCCCAAATTCTAAAACTGTCTAAAATCTGATTTGACCCATATTAAACTCCTAAAAATGGATTAAAATAATAGGGCAATGAAAAGACTAAAATACCTCTTAAAATTCCGGATTGGACATTTCCTTAATCCAACAGCCCAACTTCCAAAGGGGATAACTCACTCATACGAACTCGGAATCGCGCAAACTTGGTGGCGTTGGAAAGATCATTCCAAGAGATTTCCAAAAATATCTGGAACTACACCTAACTCATCCTGAGCTAATAATTATGGTCATTTGAAATTGACCAAAAACTCACTTTTAACTTACTTAAACATTCCCAGATTTCCTCCTTCTTTCCAAAAGTAACTATTTCCAGATTTTAAGTTTCTTTCTAGTTCTTTCTAGTTGCGAGATGTTACACAAGTCTTTAGAGTTAAGAACTTTGTTAAAGAAGACAAGATGATAAAAATATATTTGAATAAGAGATGTTAATTTATTTTTGTTGAGAATATTATCGAAAGGAAATTTGAATGATTATAATGTCTGAGAGGTTTGAAGGGCTTAATTTATAGAGCATTAGGTTTTCATTGTTCTAGTTGAAGTAGGAAGTCAAAACGGGGAAAAAAAAAGTTCATGGAAATATTTATGGAGATTATTGCTTAAAAACAAAAAATTTCTTGTAATTGGAGTTAATGGGTGTTTGAAAAATCCAATCTTTATCACTCAGAACATATGTAACAGATAGGAAGATGGTGATAGGTACAAGAAAGCTTTTGTTGTGTATCTTCTTGTAAAACCTGAATTTATTATAACTTTGGAGAATGGTGTTTGAATAGTTGTAGACACATCTTTAAGCTATCACTGAGTTTTCTTTTTTATACCCTAAACAAGAGGGAAATTAAAACTCTACCTAATTTTCTCAAATATAATAACTAGGTGTAATTTCTTTCCAACTAACCTTCTTATTCATGAATTTTTTAAAGAGCAACTTTCACATGTAGCAAACAAAAAAATCATATTTGTATGCTATAGCAAGTTTGCATAATTGCGCTCCATAGCAAACATATATATGTATAATTCGCTATACATATACAATTGAAAGATGTCTATTTCGCTATACATATATACAAAAAGAAGCAATTGTATAATTCGTTGGCTCCTCTTCAGAATTGTATAATTTCGCTGGCAGGCCATTTGTATAAATTGTTGTTAGCCTCTCATTTGTATAAATCGTTGACAAAAATATTTGTATATAAAAAATCGCTCTCTTTCGCTTTATACAAACATAAATTATACATTATACAAGCATAAAACTGGGCAGGGGAATATTTTTATTGTATAATTATAAGTGTATAGGACGAATATATATGTATTTGCATGTGTATATACAATTTTCTCGCGCTTTATACAAACAGAAACGCAATTTATACAATTTGTTGTATAATACTTAATAACTAAAGATTATAAAGTATTTAATATTGAGTCACTTCAAAATTAAATTCAAACACATGAGACTGAACCTCAAATTTACGGGTATAAAATTTCAAACTTCATACATAAAAATATGAATCTTTAATGTCCAATTCTATCACGCACAAAATAGAATAAATAATTAGCACAAAATTAAATAATTCACACCATGAATGGAACTTTAAAAAATCACAACAAATTAAAGAGAATCAATTTTAAAACCATATAGATGCACTCGAAAACGAAGAACATTTTCTACTTCACATTAATGAATCTTCAAAAGATAACTCAAATAATTAAAAAACAATCTTAAAACCATATACTAATTTTTAAAAAATTCATTGCATCATTACCCCCATTCAACTATAACACATTTTTTTAAAAGACACTGGAACTTTGCAAAGGTCCTAGCACTCCCTTAAATAATTTAAACGTGGTAAAAATATCCCAGATTTCAGTCAATCTCACGTATAAGAAAGAAAGTGCATACACACACCAACTATTACCTACCACATGCCAATTATTTTTTAATTTTATTTTCATTTATTTCTCATTCTATTTTTTTAACAAAAAAATCTCTTTACTTCTTCAATTGTTAATGTACGTTGGACTGCTGTAAATCCAACCTTTTTCCTCCTCTTCGCCGCCGCCGACTTCACTGCTGTAACTCCATTTCAACCATTTAATTTTTCTATCATCCAATCATAGTTGTATGAGGTAACGGAGGAGGTCATGTAATCTAAATTATTTGAATCGGATATCTATTGAAATCTGTCATTAAAATGTTTCTAGCCTCAAATTTATAATTTAATCTGTCGAATGTGAATTAGTCATTTCTAGTGAATATACAATATATTAAAAGAATTAAAACATCAAAAGTTGCTTAGATATACATATAATTTAGGACTATTTAGAGGAGATTTGAGTGAATAACGTATCTAAAAGGATAATATTTTTTTTCTCAAATAACATAACAAGCTTTAATTTCTTTCCAACATAATTATAAATCATTCAAAACTAAGCAATATTTCTTCAAAAAGGAACAATACAAGATAGAACTAACAGAAATAAAATAACAATAAAAATAGGATATAGCTAAGGAAATAACAGAAATATTATAAAATCATTCAAAAGCCCAAGCATTCTCTCTACAGATCTCCTCCTCTTCCTCTGGAGTATAATCATTCACGATACCAAATACTTCACGTATTTCCTCTATTGGTTTCCCTTTGATCCTATCAGCAAATTCTTGGATTACTACCTCCTTCAACTGCTTATCATAAAAAAAATTAGCAGCCAAGAGAACACCAACTAATTCTGATTGGCTCATCTTCAAGAAATCCTGATCAAAACTCTTTAACTGATCTTTTGTAACACCTTCTTTCGAATATTTTTTCCAATACTGAACCACTTTTTTCATTGTTTTGCCATCAACATTAGACAAGGAAAGGACATTAGAAGTACAATCAACGTTTTGTACCATGTTTTTGATGACTTCTGACCTCAGAGCTACAACCTCAGTGAGTTTGAATTCCTCACCATCGCTAGTCTTGAAAGTTATGAGTTTTTCTAAAGACATGACAAAGAAAATAGAAAGAGTTATGAATGAATGATTTCAATACATGAGACTAGCTTGGTCTTTTATAGTGTATTAGGTTTTAATTACTTTTCCCAAAAGTTTGTGGTAGGAATATGGAAAGCTAAATATTACATTGACCAAAATTTATTATTTTCCTTTTTTGAAGTTTAATTAATTTGCTTTTTAAAATATACCTATTATGTCTTAAATTATTATGATAATGATATAATTTAGAGTGACAAGGAAAGTTTAAACTCATTGTTTCTTTAATCATCTACTAGAAGACGAGTCATTTCTGATAGTTATTAAAATTGCTTTGTTTGACTACATTTTCGATAAAAGTAATCGAGAAACTAAAACAATAGAATGACCATTTGATCATTTACTGATTATGTCTATGTCTACTCGGATCTTCTTCGGGCAATTGGGTAAATTTAAATAACTAAAATTCGACATCGTCGCAACTATACATTATTTTGAGTGAATAATATATCTAGAGAATAGAAATATTGAGAGTAGCTAATAATATCTAAATTTTGGATTGTTTAGTGGAGACTTGAATCAGATGTCCATTGAAATCATTCATTAAAAGCTTTTTGAATCTCAAAATTTAAAATTTGATCTACCGCAAATTTAAATTGATCATTTCTAGTGAAAATATAATATACTAAAAGAATCGAAACATTGGGATTTGTTCATATCTATAATTTAGGACTATTTAGAGGAGATAAGCTAGTCGATTTTGAAAAAAATTCAACTCGTGAGGAAGATGCGTTGTAATGTATAAATATTATGTAACTGTTTTTGTGATTATTTATACATATCTAATGTATAGCTATAGATCATACACATATACAATCTTACACTATTTATATAATATTGATACATTACATATACATTCAGCCATTTAATTAAATAAGAATTTGGTCAATGATACATTTTTACTTGAGAAGCCGTAGTAAATATTGCCCTAAATTTTGGAATATTACTAGTATTTTTTCATACAATTGTAACAATTTACTTCTTCTATTGTAATATTTTAAGCTCATCCACTATCACCTTGCAAGATGCACTATATATTGTGCAAAATGAAAGATGATACATATATACATTCCTCCAATTAATATTTTTAGTTTCTTCACCCAGTGTTTAATATCTGCATTAAAGTTTAATTAATTTGAATTCACGCCAAGTAAGATCTCACTCGGACTATAGCGTTTTTCTATACATTCTTCCAACAATTTTCTTTATATTAAGTCAATTGGATATGCTTTGAACGAAAATAACTCAAAATTATTTAAAAAATAAATGTAGATATTTCTTTTTGAGATATCAATTCATCTTTTAACCATTTGGATGAATGTTTTTTTTTTTTCAAATTTAATATAAATAGCTTCAATTTCTTTTCAACATAGTTTATAAATTTATAAATCAATAAAAACCAAATAACAATTCTATAAAAAAGAACATAAGAAGATAGAACTAAATAAAATAGGATATAGCTAATTAGACAATTTTAATTCTAAAATAAAAAAAAATGAAAATAACTATAAAATCATTCAAATTCCCAAGCATTCTCTTTACATATCTCCTCTTCTTCCTATGGAGTAAAATCATTCTTGATATCAAATTATTTGCGTATTTCTTCTTGTGTTTTCCCTTTAATCCTATCGGCAACTTCTTGACACATCATATCCAATATCTCCTTATCGTTAAGAAAATTAACAACTAAGATAAGAGCATGCAAAATCGAGTGGTGCACCTTCACAAAAGCCTTGTCAAAATCCATCAGCATGTCTTTGGAGACGCCTTCCTCCGAATGTTTCTTCCAGTATTCGATCACTTTGGTCATGGTTTTGCTATGAACATTAGGTAGGGGAATGACGCTTGAAACACAATCATCTTCAACCATAGTCTTGATAGTTTGTGACCTTACAACTATCACCTCGTCGAGTACAAATTCTTTACCATCGTAAGTCTTTAGAGTTAAGAACTTTGTGGAAGAAGACATGGATGATCAATATATATTTGAATCAAATGATTATCATGTTTGAGAGGTTTGAAGGACTTAATTTATAGAGCATTAAATTTACACTATCCTAATTAAAGTAGAAAGTCAAAACCGAAAAAATAAGTTTGATGGGAGAATCACTTTTGCATTAACAATGTCAAATTAGGAAATTGTGAAAATTCTACCTAAACCGTATGTATGTGACAGAATAAGATTAGGAAAAGGAAGCCTTTTTTTTCTTCCAAATCTCAATTAGGAGAAAAATTAGTTTTTCCGTAATATCTAACCATGATGTTTGAAAAGTTGTAAACACATACATAATTATTCTTGGAGACTATTGCTTAAAGAAATATAAAATTTCTTGTAATTGGAGTTAGTGGGGATTTTAAAGATTCAATCTTTATCACTCAGAATAAATGTAACAGATAGGAAGATGGTGATAGTAAATTTGAATAATTAGACAGAATGACCATTTGGTGGAGATCTTGTAATCTACATTTTAGGATTGTTTAGTGGAGATTTAAATCGAATATCCATAGAAATCTGTCATTAAAACGTTTCAAACCTCAAATTTTAAAATTTGATCAACAACAAATGTGAATTGATCATTTCTATAGAATATATAATATTTAAAAGAATTGAAACATCGAAAGTTTCCCATATCTATAATTTAGTATTATTTAGAAGAGATTTGAGCTGGTCGATATTGGAAAAACAATCAACTCGTGAGGAAGATGCGTTGCAATGTATAAATATTATTTAAATGTGTTTCTGATTATATATACATATATGATATATAGTTGTACATCACACATATATATGATCAAACATTATTTATAAAATATCGATACACTACATGTACATACAATCATTCAATTAATAAGCATTTTCGTCAATGATACAATTATTTGTGAAGCCGTAGTAAATATTGTCCTAAAATTAGGAGTATTACAAGTATTTTTTCATAGCAATTGTAATAATTGATTTCTTTTGTCGTAATATGTTAAATCATCTATTAATAACTTGCAAGATGCATTATATATTGTGCAAAAGGAAAGACGATACATATATACATTCCTCCAATTATTATTTTACAACTTTTCACTCAATGTTTAATATTTGTATTAAAGTTCAACTAATTCGAATTTGTGCCAAGTAGGATCTCACTTTGACTATAACGCTTCCTTTCAAGAATTTTTCTATACGTTCTTCCAATCTCTATCTTCTTACCCAAATCAAGTCGAAGAATATTTTTTAAGCTGTAGCACCAATTAACATTATTATTGAATTTTTAAAAGTGACATGTAAACCAATATAACCTTATATTAAAAGAGAAACTCCCTAATGCTTCTCTCTTGTTTTTTAAGTTTTTAACTTTAATAGTCTTTTAAAGGATTCCCTAATACTTAAATCATTTTTGTTGTTTTATGAGTAACTTCAAAGAAAAGCTATGTTAAGAGATTTTCCAGTACTTAAGTGTCAATTAATTAAGAAAATTTATCAAATATGCTTTGAATGAAAATAACTCAAAATTATTAAAAAAATAAATTTGAATATTTCTTTTTGGGATATCAAATTTATCTTTCAATCGTTTTTTTTCAAATTTTATATAAATAGCTCTAATTTCTTTTCAACATAATTTATAAATCAATAAAAACCAAACAACAATTATATAAAAAAGAACAACAGAAGATAGAACTAAATAAAATAGGATATAACTAACTAGATCGTTCCGATTCTAAAATTAAAAAAGAACAAAAAATTAAAAATAACACCAGTGTTATAAAATCATTCAAAAGCCCCAAGCATTCTCTTTACGAATCTTCTCGTCTTCCTCTGGAGTAAAATCATTCTTGATATCAAATTCTTTACGTATTTCTTCTGGTGTTTTTCCTTTAACCCTATCGGCAACTTCTTGACACATCATATCCAATATCTCTTTATCGTTAAGAAAATTAGCAGCTAAAATAAGATCGTACAAAATCGAGTGGTGCACATTCACGAAAGCCTTGTCAAAATCTATCAACATGTCTTTGGAGACGCTTTCTTCTGAATGTTTCTTCCAGTATTCGATCACTTTGATCATTGTTTTGCTATGAACATTAGGCAAGGGAATGATGTTTGAAACACAATCGTCTTCAACCATATTCTTGATAGCTTGTGACCATCGCAAGTCTTTAGAGTTAAGAACTTTGTTGAAGAAGACATGATGATAAAAATATATTTGAATAAGAGATGTTAATTCGTTTTTGTTGAGAATATTATTGAAAGAAGATTTGAAGAATAATAATGTCTCAGACGTCTGGACGGCTTAATTTATATAAGATTAGATTTTCGTTGTTGTAGTTGGAGTAGGAAGTCAAAAGGGGGAAAAAGAGTTTGGGAAAATCTGTTTTGTGTCAAACTAGGTAATTGTGAAAATTTTACGTAAACGTATGTATGTGACCAAATAAAATTAGAAAAAGGAAGCCTTTTTTTTTTCTCTTCCAAATCTCAATTAGGAGAAAAAATAATTTTAATTTTTATCCCTAATATCTAACTATGGTTAACCCTAGGAAATAGATGTGGTTCGAGCTGTCCCTGGGAATTTTGAGTGTGAAGGGGATTGAGAAAGCTTCTCTTTTTTGGTGTACTGGAATTTCAGAGCTCATATTCCAGGTACTTAATTATTCATTCCAAGAAAATTTATGGAGACTATTGCTTGAAAAATGAAAATTTCTTGTAATTGGAGTGAATGGGTGTTTGAAAAATTCAATCTTTATCAATCAGAACATATGTAACAGGTAGGAAGATGGTGATGGGTATAAGAAAGCGCTTGTTGGGTATCTTTTTGCAAAATTATGCCTTTGGAGAATGGTGTTTGAAAAGTTGTAAACACATCTTTAAGCTTTCACTAAGTTTTTTTTAACCCTAAATAAGAGGGAAATTAAGATTGTATCTGATTTCCTGTAATCCGATAAGTGGAATCTGGTGAGGGTAGGATGTATGCGGACCTTATCCCTGCGTAGAGAGACGGTTTCTGATAGACCCTTGAAACTAACAATAGTGATGAACTGATGATAAATAGAACTAACAATAGTGATGAACTGATGATACAAAAAACTAAAACAATAGTGATGAACTGATGATAAATAGAGTGAATGTATGACTTGTGAACAATAGTGATGAACTGATGATAAATAGAGTGAATGTATGACTTGTGTTCTCTGTTTAGTAATCCTTAGATCTCTGTGAAACTCTTCTGCCATAAATGAGTGTCTTTCTTAGTAACATAAATAAATAAAAACAAAAAAAAGGAGCTGCATCTAGTGACATTTTTATAGTGTTTGTGTAAACTTCTAGCGAAAATTGTTTATCTATAGGTTGGCTGTTGGTCCTCTTTATTTTGTTTTCCTACTTATATTTTTTTTTTTTGATAACCGAGAAATCTGTCTGTGACCCGCCCTTTGGACCAATCACAGCCTTCTAAACTCGGTGGATAATGGGCCCGCCCCTCTACCCTTCTCCACTTAAATACTGGGCTTTGCTTTGCATGGTGTGGGGCTTGAACCTGCGACCTAAGCCACAAATCCTCCACCTTTTGCCACTTGAGCTAGGCCTTGGGGGCTGTTTTCCTACTTATATTACCTGTTTATTTATCCAGTTTGTAACTTGCTTACTTCTCTCTGCTTGTTCTCATTGGTTTGTTTTCTTCTTTCTGGTGTTTAGATCAATAAGAAATACTTTTACTTTGTCTGGAATTAGAAATAGGAAGAATGGCTACCTTGGTTGAAAGAAGAGGAAGAGTCGTTTCAGAATGGAGCCTGATTTATTGATGATGAATTTAAACCATCGAATTGGAAAATGAAATAGTTTAGTCATGTTTTTCATTTCGATTCAGCCCACCCAGTGGTAACATTGAGATAAATTACTTCAAGCTGATACCCAATGTCTAACAGTCTGAGCACCTGAGTTGCAGGTTCACCATACTGCGGTTTCACTGGTTTTATAGTCTACACTCCTATTTGAGGTTCAAGACTAAAAAATTGGTTGTAGAGATGTATGTTGAATGTAGCCTTGTGTATGAACTCTCATTTTTGGCATAATCATATTTGTTTCAATTCAAATATGATTAGAATTCCTAAGTAACACAAATCCTGTTTGAAAGTCATTTTTCTTTAACTCTAAGCGTTACTCTCATTTTGCTGTGCTCATGCAGTCAGGTTTAATAAGGCAGACCAACTTGAATGTGGTGTTCTTATGGGTTTACGGATTTGGATTTTTGAGTTGTATTATGAAATTGTTGGACTTCTGAGTGGTTACTGGTACTTCATTTTATTTTCAGCTTTTGATTTGTGCAGATTCCCTTTAGTCATTTGTTTGTCATACATACACAAACTAGCTACACCTTTTTCTATCATACAGTTGCGAGACAGTGTAGCATCTTCCAGTTTCCATTATCTTTCTCCAGCACATGAGCTGTCATTAAGGGTTCGTTCAAGGAAAAAGCAGTATAATACCAACTTAGAGTGTATCAAGAGAAGAGAAGAGTCTGGCAGTTTCAAGACCCATAATGATTAAACTCTTTGATTCTCATTGTCACCTCCAAGATCCAAGGATCCTTAATATGGTCCCAAAAATTATTAAGACCACGACTGAAACAGGAGTTGTCCATTTTGCTGTCAATGGCTTGTCAGAGAAAGATTGGCATTTGGTCAAGGAAATGAGTGAACGCTACCCTTCTATTGTTCCAAACTTTGGGCTCCATCCCTGGTTTATAACTGAGAGGACTCCTAATTGGCTGAAAACTTTGAGAGGATTTTTGGAGTCTACTCCTGCTGCTGCAGTTGGAGAGATTGGTTTAGATAAAGGTTCATTTGGAAGGAAGATTGATTTCGCTGATCAGGTGGATGTCTGTCGACAGCAGCTTCAACTTGCCAAAGAGTTGGAAAGACCAGCATCCATACACTGTGTTCGTGCTTTCGGGGATCTTCTTGATTTATTAAAATCCGCGGGGCCTGTTCCTGCTGGTTTCATCCTGCACTCTTACCTCGGCTCTGCCGAAATGGTTCCTGAATTTGCTAAGCTTGGTGCTTACTTCTCCTTCTCTGGGTTCCTTATGTCCATGAAGGAAAGCAAGGCAAAGAAAATGTTGAAGTCAATTCCTAAGGACAGGATCTTGTTGGAGACAGATGCACCAGAGGCTTTGCCAAAATTGAGCAATCCAGATTCTCTATATTTGATCGAGAAGGAAGCTTCATCAGCTGATGGAACATCAAGTGGAGGAATTAATGATGGAAATCCATCTGAGAAATCACCGGAGGAGGACAAAGGCAATGAACAACAGGCAGAAGAAATCCATAACCATCCTGCAAACATTCACCATGTACTCTCCTATGTTGCATCACTACTTGAGCTGACAAAAGAAGAACTTGCTGAGATAAGCTTTGCAAATGCTTCTCGGCTATTTTCTTATGAAGGTTCAAAGGTACTGCAAGAGGTAAAATAACTTGTCTATGACATGCAATTGACACTGTGATACATGCTCAGTATTCCTTTTCTAGGTACCGGTCTTATGTCTCACTAAATTGCCTTGGTGGTTGTGCGTGCAAGGTGGTCCTCTACAGGTCTTAAAATGATGTTGCATAACATGACTATTGGTTTCCTAAGAAGAAATGCTGCTTCAGTTTTGATATCTGCTACTGCTAGTGATACTTCAATTAGTTCCTGTGTATTATGACTCAACTACTATAATTCATTCTAAATGTTTCATTGATTCATAAGTATATATTTTCTAACCACTTGTCCTTTATCTTCTGTAACAGGTATGAGGCAGGAACTGAAAATTGTGTCAATAAGCAGCACAGCCAAAAGCTTTGTTAGGCTTTTTACAATTTGACACTTGGGTTATCAGTACATCAAACTCTTGGCTTATACTGTACCTATAGGCTATTTTCCAGTTGAAGCTCCACATAACATATAGCATAATCCTTCACTACTTTCTAAAATATTGTTCCATGTCACTTTTTACCAAGGTTCAACATTTTTTTGTTTTGAATTTTATCATGATTGTGAATATTGATAAATTAGAGTGTTAATGTAATTTTACCACTCGATAGAGTATTTATCTCGACAACATAAAAATAATTGAAATTTCTACTAAAAATTATCACAAAAACTTCAAAGGAAAGCGCTTCAAAAAGCTTAGATAATTGGTTTCTCTGGTACATTGGTTTTATTATTTTCATTAATTGGTTCTTTCTTTATAGTTTATTATGATTACTGTTTTTATAGATGAAAGACAATATTGCTTAATTATTTTCATTGTCCTTTTTACTAAAGTTCAATAGATCTTTAGTTTTGAATTTAATCATTGAGTTGATAGAAAACAAAGTTAAGAAGTTAAGCAAACAATTTAAGATTATTTTCTATGATGCAATTGATATTGAATAACACGTGCAACACATATATTCAGAAACTAATTAGTATATATAGGTGAACATTATTTTTCTCCCTTCAACTTTGTTCAAAACATCCAACTCTTACCTCAACTTGAACTAAGCATAGTAATTTTGTTCATAATGTTACTTATGAATGTGGTTGCTAAGAATTCATACAATCATGCTAACTTGTTTAGACTAGAAGCCGACATGTTATTGAACAATTGTAAGTTTCTAGCCGCTTCTATATAATATTTCTTTTGTTTTTTTTTACTTGTCAAATTTTGATTTGACACACATATTAAGAGAATTATTGTTTCTTGATTGTCAAAAATGACAAGTAAAAAGGGGAAATCAAATTAGAAAATATTTGACAAGTAAATAGAGATGGAGGGAGTAGTAAAGTAAAATAATTCACGGATTAAGGCTTTATTTTTACTTTCAAAATAAATAATTGTTTAGTTATAAAGGAGAATTTAATTTAATTTTTTGGAATTTTTTAAAAATTTACAAAATCAATAAAAGTATAAGTAATAATTAAAAAAGTCTTTTTTTTTTCATTATATAAGGGACAATTTCATCATCGTTGTCTAGATTTTGGGAAAATATAGTCTCAGCTACAACACTTTGATTATTACTCAATATTTCCGATTTTCACAGTATCTGTAAATCCCTAATGGACCTATTGCGATCCTACGCCGAGGACGATGGAATCGCTAACCCTAATTCCCAATCTTCGCCGGATTCTTCCCCAATCCGAATGCTTCCTTCTAAATCCGCCGCCCCTAAAGTCGACGACACCATGCTAGCCCTAACAGTCGCCGGCGAAGCTGCCAGAGCTCAATCCAAACCCCTTGATCCGACCCAGCACCTTGTTGGATTCAACCCGACATACGAACAACTATGGGCACCAATTTGCGGTCCAGCTCACCCGTACGCAAAGGACGGGTTAGCTCAAGGACTCAGAAATCACAAGCTAGGGTTCGTTGAGGACGCGTCCATTGAACCCTTTGTATTTGACGAGCAGTACAATACTTTTCAGAAGTATGGGTATGCTGTTGATCCCTCTGAAAATAGCTACATCGGTGATTTGGAAAAAATGAAGGAATGTGATGCAATTTCTGTGTATAACATACCACAGCATGAACAGAAGAAGAGGAAGTTAGAGAAAAAGAAGGAAAAAATGGAGGAGGAGGAGGGTGATGAGCAGGACGTGGATATGACGGAAGTTGAAAATCCGTCCACAGACACATGGTTGATGAAGAACAGGAAGAGTCCATGGGCTGGAAAGAAAGAAGGGTTGCAAGTGGAATTATCTGAGGAGCAGAAAAAGTATGCTGAAGAGTATGCTAAGAAGAAGGGTGAAGAAAGAGGTGGTGATAAAGATAAGGCGGAGCCTATGGTTGAAAAGAGCACATTTCATGGTAAAGAGGAAAAGGATTATCAGGGCAGGTCTTGGATTGCTCCACCGAAGGATGCAAAGGCTGCTAATGATCATTGTTATATACCAAAGAGATTAGTTCATACTTGGAGTGGACACACGAAAGGGGTTTCGGCTATTAGGTTTTTCCCTAAGCATGGTCATTTGATTTTGTCAGCTGGGATGGATACAAAGGTGAAGATTTGGGATGTTTACAATTCTGGAAAATGTATGAGGACTTACATGGGGCATACAAAGGCAGTGAGGGATATTTGGTTTAGCAATGACGGGTCGAAGTTTTTGACAGCTGGATATGATAAGTACATTAAGTATTGGGATACAGAAACAGGACAAGTAATTCAAACCTTCACGACAGGTAAGATACCCTATGTGGTGAGGCTTAATCCTGATGAGGATAAGCAGAATGTACTTTTGGCCGGTATGAGTGATAAGAAGATTGTGCAGTGGGATATAAACAGTGGACAGATTACACAAGAGTACGATCAACATCTGGGGGCAGTTAATACAATTACCTTTGTGGATAATAATAGGAGGTTTGTGACCTCTAGTGATGATAAATCACTACGTGTTTGGGAATATGGTATTCCGGTTGTTATCAAGTATATAAGTGAACCCCATATGCATTCCATGCCATCTATTTCTCCCCATCCAAATGGGAATTGGATTGCAGCACAAAGTTTGGATAACCAGATTCTTATTTATAGTACGCGAGAGAGATTTCAGCTGAATAAAAAGAAAAGATTTGCTGGACACATTGTCGCTGGTTATGCCTGCCAGGTCAATTTCTCACCTGATGGACGGTTTGTCTTCTCAGGAGATGGTGAAGGCAGATGCTGGTTTTGGGATTGGAAATCGTGTAAGGTCTTCAGAACTCTCAAGTGTCATGACGGGGTCTGTATTGGTGCAGAGTGGCATCCTCTGGAACAAAGTAAAGTTGCTACTTGTGGTTGGGATGGTTTGATCAAATACTGGTAAGCTTTATGATCCTTGCTTTAAGAATTATGTTTATGTAGGTTGATCTTTTATTGCTCTGTCCCGTCGTAGAATTTAGTTGTTAAAGTAGCTGTGACATTGATAGTGAAAAATGCTCTCCTTGTATATCCACTTATCTGATACCATATTTAGGATTTAATTAGCTTTAGTGTGATCTGAAACTTATGTGTCGATTGGAATTGCCACTGAATCTGTCACTCCTACCTTGATCCACGGATGAAGTACTCTCATTACCTATTTTCCAAAAAAAAAATAAAGAAGCCACAACAACAAAAAAGAGTTTTAGACATCTAGCCTTTAGCACGTATATGGGAGTGTAGTGACTCCTTCAAAACATCTAAATTTCTATCCTTCCAAATACACCAAAAGATGCAGGGTGGAACCATATGCTGTATCATCTTCACTGATTGCCAACTCTCCAGATCCCCCAGCTAGCACAAGCTTCCTTAAAAGTGTAGGGCATTACTTAACTAACCCCAAAAAGATTCAAAAGCATACTCCAGATGTCTTTGGCAACTTGATAGTGAAGTAGAAGGTGGCTGATGTTTTCAGATTCTTGGGTAGCACATAACACCTGTTGCAGAGCACAATCCTCTTTTGGTGAGGTTTTCTTGGGATAGACAGGCTTCTAAAATAGCTAACTAGCTGAAGCAGGCTATCTTTGTTGGATTTTTCACCTTCCAAACTTGTTTCCTAAAGACAACACTTCAGCGATATTACTACTGCTCCAAAGATTAGTATAGCATGATTTTTGACAGAAAAAATACCATTTTTACGACAACTCCATGCCATTACGTCTTTCAGAAGAAAATGGAGAATCCATGTCAACTGTCCAATAAGGAACTTAGCTCATTTACCTCCTGGTCTAGGATATTCCTTCTAAATGTTTATCTCCTAGAGTTTCCTTGCCAACAGTTTATGATTGATGCTTGGGACTGTTCAGTTAATTGGTAGAGTCCTGGAATATGTTCCTGCAAAATGCTGTTCCCAGCCATTTATCGTCCCAAAGTTTTATAAATTCTCCATTCTCAACCATGAAATGAGTGTGTTTACTGAAGACTTCCCCCAACTTGCTTGTGTATGTTGCAATGTGAAGTGTTAGGGACCTTGGTATGCCAGTGATTTAGCTCTCCGTGTTTACCTTAATTATCTGCCTCCAAAGTGATTATTCTTCACATCACACATTTCTTAACTTTTTACTTTTCTTGCATTGCTTATATATTGTATTTGTTAATTAGTTTTTCACGTTACATATAGTATCTCTCTTCATTTACGTCTATCTTCACGAAGATGTGCTCTTGAAGCACTAAGCAATCTTTGGTACTTTTCTGCAATTTTTTGTTACAGCATTTGCACTTCGTTTTGTGACTTGATGAGCTTGTTTTTGAATCAAGAGCAAAGATGAATATATTGAGAATAGAAAGGGAAAAAAAAAGGATAAGATGAATTCTGTGGATTTTTTCACTGACTGGGAAAAAAATGAATTTTATGCATTTTTTCTTCTTTTTTCAATGCCTGCTGTCATGGAAGGGGAATGAAGGGGGGATGCTAGGGAAGAAACTAGTAGCAAAAGGTCCAGGAAGTGACAATCTGCCTCATCACTTGATTGTCTGGCATTGCAATTAAAACATTTAAGACTTTGAATTAGGATTTTCAAATCCTCAAATGACAACTGCAACTTAATCCAATTTCAAAAAGAAAAAAGCATCATACCTTTAATGGATCAGTGTTAAATTCATGACTTCTGAAAAACAAAAAGAACCAAATTTTAAGGAAGCATAGCATCTTCACTGACTTGTCACAGATTTTTTTTTCACTTCCACAGCAATTTGAAGTGAAAGGTCCCTTCTAAAGTTTGTTTATGAAATCGTCTGTCAGTTTCTGTAACTGTCTCTTCTTAGCAATTCCTTGGGAGATAGGTGCAGTTCAACTTCCAATTAATGTTTTTGAGACTTTTGTCAGTTTCCTTCCTTAAATGTATCTTCTTGTCAATCCCTTGAGAGATGATACATTCTAACTTACTCCCAACAAGAGAGGGTTAAAGCACTTCCACTCGTGCTGTTTTCTGTCATTAATGAATATCTGTTATTGGGATGAATGGCCTCTATTTGGGGGGAGGGGGGTCTGTTATCAGTAGATAGATTTCTCATCCAGAATATCAATTAGATCTATCGTTCTCTTGCTCTGGAGGAGGATAACTGTATTTTCAGTTCGCTTCTCGCCTTCTCCTTATTGTGTTGCGTCTTGTTTGTACATGTGTGCTTTGTATTTTGAGGCAGATTCACTTTTCTTATTCCTGGTGTTCAACAGACATGCTAACCTCATCTCTGGTGTTTGCAGGGACTAGTTTTTGAGCAGCCATTTCTGTCTGCATTTATTGTGAGGATAACATCTTCACTATCGGTTGGTTAGAGGGACCAAGCTATGAATGCATGTGTTGGTCAATGCTAGTCTTTACCTCTGTAAGACAGGTTTTCTTCTTAGATGGTTTTCTTTGGTTGAGGTTGTACCAATAGTTACTAACAGAGGGACATGTAACTTTCTGTCAAGTTATGATATTCCACAAGACAAGTTAGTTGGAGAATCAGTTCTTGCATTTTCCTCTGTCAATGTCATGCACGAATGAAGTTTATGTTGTAAATTGTTTTCGTTATTTCAATCTCTTTTTTCCGCCCTGGCCTTCCAACATGGATTGTGGTTGAGGATATAGAAGTTGCAGTTCTTTCACCTTGTTCGATTAAATTGTAAGCAGACACCCAGTGTTCTATATTTCACTTCTTTTTTCTCCAAACTGTTCTTATACTCGGAGATTTTGCAATGTGCTTCAGCTGTGCATTTTCTTTTTTTTTGCGCTTGGTTGAATTACACTTTGGAAGCATTTAACTGCAATGTCATGATAAACTTGTAACTGGGTTCTCCTTTCTCACTTTTTTGGTTGGTGATAGTTGCTCAAGATCATAGATGGTCAGATATTTTAGAATGCTCCCATGCATGTTCCCTGATGCGAACTGTTAAAACACTTCAAACCATGTGAAACTTAACATGGAAAGAGTTTATCACAAAGTGATCGACAATGGGTATGCAAGAGTTGTACCGTCTCCAGCATAGGAACTCGACATGCAAATAGTAGAGCATGGTGGAAGGGAGAAGTATCAAATATTGATATTCATTCTTTAACACGTTGTGAAGCTCAAGGTCGTGCCTTTTCCTGGCACTCAACATTGATGTGCCATGGTAGAAAAGGCATGACCTTGAGCCTAGCTTGTTCCCCATAGGAAAGTATCAATTATCAAGATTCATCATTGTGGCTAGGATACAAATACTGCTAGATTAGAGCATTCTCAGACCATAGTCATGATATTCTCACGATAATTAAGAAAATGTATACTTGCAAAGTTGCAATCAAGCTTGTTGCAGGTGCCGGCAGGGGCACCAGCCTCTCGTGAAGAAAAATTACTCTGATGCAACTAGAAGAAGTCCAACCACAAATGAGTAAAACTGGTTGTCAGAGAAAATGATAGAAATTTCTATCTTCTTTGCTAACTAACACATGAAAATTAATTATCTTAAGACCTCTCTGAATCGTATCAATAGGTTACACAACAACAAAAACTTGCATTACACACTGTTACTAGTGGTAAATGCAAGATCACAGAGGAAGTGTCTATTCACACCAATGTCTTGTGCATCAACTTAGTCATCCTTTTTCAGTTTCAACTTTGCTTCGACATCACCACTGTAAGGAGCCACATGGTATGCATATTGCTGCATAACAGAAAAGAAAACCATCTCCACACAAATTAAAACATTCTGAATGGCTTCCTGAAGGTGCTCCACATCCAACCAAAAATGGTGAGATTTGATAATTCCCCACGAGACTAGAATTTTAACCAGCAACCCCTGCAAAATTCAGAGATGAATAGTTTATTGCACCAGTGGAGGTTAAAACATATCTCAGTCAAGCAAAGCATCGAACGGAGAGAGGCTTCCTCACAGAAACAACACAACAAAGAAACCAATACCTCCTCTTTGAGAAGTTGAAAGAATTTCAATAGTAATGGCATGCAAGTCAAGAGGATCTAAACAGGATTCAATATTTTAATGGTGGTATTTTTGTATCCTTTGCTTGATGATGATTGTTGGCTAGCAGGACACCTTTTTTTTTTTTTGATAACCTAGAAATCCCAAGAGTCAGTGGCCCGTGATTTGAAACTCAGTGGATAATGGATCTGCTCTCTACCTTTCTCCACTTAAATACCTTGTTGTTGTTCTGCGGCAGGGTTTGAACTCGTGACGTGAGCCTAACCTTTACATCACGCTTCCCCGCGGCAACTAACAGGATTCATTTATATTATCCTATAACCAGTTCATTACAGTGATTTCATGCCTCAAACTCACACAACGGATATCCATCCACCAATCAAACTTCAGAGGAGATGATTGTAAAAGAATAACAGCTATCTACTCCTAATGGCATAACCTTTTAGAGGAGGTTGGAGGCAGACATATTAAAGACCTTTAATTTTCACTTGTTTGGTCAGATAAAATGTGAGCCCAACCGCAGAACCCATCTGTGCGCTCTTCTACGTCTCAATCATCTTGACCTAAGTTGCATGGACTATTCACTTTCGATGTTGCACCCGTGTCAGATTACCAAAAATACACTACTTTTGGAGAATCCGACACGCGCGACAATTTTGAAGAGTCCGAGCAACACAGATTTTGACATCTTGTTGTCAAAATAATGAAACCGAGTCCTCCATATAGAAATCATTTTCCCAAGCTACAGATAAACCTAGAAGTGCATAGATAGTTCAGTGTCCCTTGGTGTGTTTTGGTTCCATTACAGGTTTGCACACAGATGTAGAGGATAGTAGTAAAAGGTTTGGCATGAGGCAAAACCAAATGAAGATGTTCCCATCCCTGCAAATAAGCAAAATCTATGCCCCTGCCCATACCACTCCCACAAAGACGCAGTGAGGAAACAGCATCAGAGGAACTTAATAAGTATTGGTTGTTGGTCAAAATTAGCAGAAACTTACACGTGGTAAAACCAAATCTAAAATAAGTCAAGTCTTTTGATTTATAATTAGTAATAGAAATCCCTTAATTTGGCTCCATTTCAATACATGTAACGACAAACCCATTAGGGGACTTCTATTACTAGTTATAAATCAAAACTCGAAAGACTTGACATATTTTGGATTTGGTTTTACGCTTCGTACCAGGTATTCAAACCTCGCTACTCATACACCTCAACCAGTCAATCATGCCCTTGGGAGTAGGGCTACTATAACCTTATGCTGCCTCTATAGATTACAAATATTTTCATCCTTTCTTTAAAATAACGCTTTAAAAAGTGAAAAGCAAAGAAAGCCATCGCTGACAGGACCGTCGATCTTAACATAAAATAATTATCATTAAATTCTATAATGCCACAAAAAGATAACCATGATAATCAAATTAATGTTCAATGTTAGTTGATTAACCGTCAATTGCTCCAGCTACTGTAGTAACAAAGCAGAAAGACAAGTCCAAAGTGAACATTTCTGCGAAGTGCATAGCTTCACCCGCCAACAACCCCTAACTTCATAGTAGATGCAAATGAATCACATAATTCAGGAAAAAAATAAATAGAAAAAGATGTTGTGGAAGAGGAAGCTTTACGGATTCAAGAAGAAAAGAAGACAAAAACGACAATGAATTGATGAAGCATGGGCAAGGAATAATCGTAGTAGTCAAATACAAAATGACCATAAACCTCCATTTTCTCTTTTTGTCTTACTTTCTAATCAAATTGAAAAAAACAAGAGAATTCGTAAAGTGCACATATCTCCATAGTGCATCTTCGCACCCACGAGCCAACAACCTATCGCTTCATAGTAAAAGTAGATGACTCACATACTTGGAATAAAATGTTCAGTAAGAAGAGTAGAATCAAAGTTATAGAAGAGGTAGTGTGACAAATTCAAGAAAAGAACACAACAACAATAATGTATTGATGAGAGTAATCTTAGTAGTCGAGTACCAAATGATCCTACTTTCCCCGTTGCTTCTCTTTATTTCCATCCTTTTTGATGAAAAAACAACAAATCAAGCGAGTTTGAAAAGTGAACATGTTTGCAAAGTGCATTGCTTCTCCATGAGCCAACAACCATTTGCTTCATAGTAGAAGAAATTTACTCACACACTTGAAATAAATAGAAGAAAAAAAAAGTAGATTAGGAAAAAAAACAGAAGTTGTAGAGGAGGAAGGAACAATTACAAATTCGACTATGTGAGAAGCGATGGGTTGCAGAAATGATTCTAAAGCGCACATTTATGCAAAGTGCATCTTTGCACCCTCTAGCCAACAACCCATCGCTTTTGACATACTTAGAAATAAAATGTAAAGTAAGAAGAATAGAAATCAAGGTTATAGAAGAGGAACTGTTACAAATTCAAGAAAAGAAGCCAACAACAATAATGAATTGATGAGAATAATCTTAGTAGTTGAATACCAAATGATCCTATTTCCCCCACCCTTTTTGATTAAAAAAAAAGAAACAAGAAATCAAGAGAGTTTAGAATAGTAGAAGAAAATTACTCGCATACTTGGAATAAAAAGAAAAAAAAGAGTAAATTAAGAAGAATAACAGAAATAGAAGTTGTAGAGGAGGAACCATTACAAATTCGAGAAATTTAAGAAGAGACAACGAAAATGATTTGATGAAGCATAGACAAAGGATAATTTTAGTCTAATACCAAATGATCCTATTTTTCCCTCTGCTTTCTCTTTTTCTCTTTTTTACTGCTCAAATTCAATCAATGAAAGGAGTTTGCAAAGTGCATCATTTGACCCACGAGCCAACAATCCCTCACTTCATAGTAGAACCAAATGACTCACATACTAAGAAAAAATAATTCTAAAAGAAAATAGAAAAAGAAGCTGAAGACGAGAGGAAGCTTTACAGATTCAAGAAGAAAATAAGACAACAATGACAATGAATTGATGAAGTATAAGCAAAGGAAATGTAAGAAGTAAAATAGAATTGATGAAGCATAGGAGAAGAAAAATCGTAGTAGTCAAATACCAAGTAACTTCATTTTTTTCCCTGGTTTTCACCTTTTTCTCTCCTTTTTGATCAAATTGAATGAATCAAGAGAGTTGGCAAAACACACATTTATGTAAAACAAACAGTTGCTTATTTCTGGGTTTGGGGGGCGGGGGCAGAGGAGATGAGTTGGAGTCTCTACCTGCCAAAAGCTGAAGAAAACTATCCCTTTGATGCAGATGAACTTTGAAAGTGGTTTGTGTGGCTGCAGTTCCTTTGAGAAAACATGGTAGAAAACAACCAAGGAGTACATGGCCACTGAGAATGAAATATTGAGAATGATGGTAAATGTCCAGCTGAGCCAACTCGGATACAACCCAAGAATCTGTAACATGATCATCAAGATAGAGCATGCTGGACGGATGATGACAAACTGCCATGTCCAATGCTTGAGAAGTTTCAGTGTCCGGTGATCTAAGCGAGCAGTGCGGGGCTGCAATTGGCAGGAAGAACATTAGATGCATGGTGACAATCCACCATTCTAATACTACTTTATCAATCGTTCTAGTAAAATAGAGTAAGAAAGGCATAAGCTCAATTAAACAACTGACAAAATTAGGAAGACAAACTTCAACCTAATATCTCACATCACCCAGATTATAAGAAAACTTATGTAAGTGTTAGTAAGCCAAGCCTCCAAGTCATCCGAATATGAAAGAACAAGCACTTTAACTCTAAGTTTAAACAATTGTATCTGCACTTAGACAGGATCTGATTAATATAATTTCTTTAGGATATAGAGTCATAATTATTAATTGGTTACATTAGGGTAATAACTCAAATAGCTTGGTTGTCTATCTTAGACGACTAGAAGTCCTGTGCTTCAGAACAAAAAGAAATATACTGGGGGATGGACTTTCCCTTGCCCCTAAAATTCTTCAAAATGATATTATTACACAGTAAACACTAAAGGGGGAAAGTCCAATAGTGGCTAGATTCAAACGCAACGGTTACAACAACATACCTAGCGTAATCCCACAAGTGGGGTTTGGGGAGGGGGTAGGATGTACACAAACCTTACCCCTACCTTTGTGGGGTAGGGAGACTAATTTTGATATCAGTTATAAATACATTGAATGCATAATCATCTGGCACATATTGAGAGGAAAGCTAAAACATAAGTATAATCACACCTGAAATAGAGTCATTGGAAAGGAATGATGAATTTCCCTCCCCTTGATTTCATCAGGCACAATGTTTTTGCTGATGGATATATTCAAATAACTATACATCAAAGCCAAAAATTTGGCAATTGCCTGAAAAAAACAACATCAAATGAAACATGTTTTGCTTTATTTCTTCTGTCAAACTAGAAAGCATACTAGTGGACAGTGTATGCACCAATAACAAAGGCATGTCCATCACACGGTAGCAACTTACCACAGCCTCGTAGCATTCTTTAACTGAGTCTAGAAACATGAAAAATGTTTTGCTTCCACGAATATCTAACAAACCCACAAACGAGTCAATGGCATAAAGTGGAGCCATACATATAATCATGATTATTGCCTTTTGCTCCTTTGGGTTTTTCCAGAAGAACAGGTGTTGTGACAAGAGCTGTATTGTGAAATGCATTGAAAGCAAAGCAGAAAACCCTGATCCCACCATAGTGAGTTGTGCACGGTCCATACTAGCGAAGTCCATATTTTACCAAGTCTTGCAAGAACATAAGACAGAGCTCCTCCTGCAAATCAAATACCGAAGATCTTTATACTGGTATTCACCAATTTTTCAACTGACTGCATTTTTCAACTAGACCTATTCTCAATATTGCTAGTTCAAGGCCATGCTAGGAGGAGAACCGCACACAAATTTATCAACATACAACTCTTCAGAAGAATATCAAATTTGAGAAAACTTGAGCTTGATATCTATCCACCAATTTGATTTAAAATCAAGATTCAAGGGGCATATTGAATTTTTTGTTAAAAATTACAGATTTTACATATGGGGAATCAAAATTAAAAGTTCTCTTGAAAAACAAGAAACAACCCAAACCAATACACAGCAAATTGAATAAATACAAAAAATACCCATATCCTTTTGACTTCTAAGGAACCGGAAATTTAACAAGAACTTGATTTTAAATCAAGATTCAAGGGACATGTTGAATTTTTAGTTAAAAATACAGATTTTACAATTGGGGAATCAAAATAAAATGTTTTCTTGAAAAAACAAAAAACAACCCAAATCAATACACAGCAAATTGAATAAATGCAAAAAATACCCATATCCTTTTGACTTCTAGGGCACCATAAATTTATCATAGAAGAATCAAGATCCGCATAAACCAAGTAAGAGGGGAAGAAGATGGTAGAGAAGTTATCATCAAGCACACCCAAAACACAAAAACAAAGAAGGAATCAAGCAGTAATTAAAGTTATAAACAAAGAAATTGAGTGTTTGTGGAAATTCTTGCACTACTTACAGTAAAATAAATCAAGAATGAAGATGAGTGACAACAAATTCGTGCGGAGTATTGTGAATCTAATAGTAAATTTGCTTTCTAATTTCTACTTAGTGAGTGCACTTGGCATCAAGTATTATTGAACTATGGATTTGGCACTTATATATAATTTGATTTCAAGAATGGAGTACAAATACGCGTTCAATATTATATTAATTTCAAGAATGGAGTATAAATACGCGTTTTACACGCGGTATTTCTGTTGATATTTTTACTTTCTACTTTGATTTTATTTATTATAACTTGAAATGAAATAAATGGGTAAATATTATTTCTATAATCTTTTTACTTGATAAAAAAAAGTTTTTTTACAAATAGATATTTTTTGTGTTTTATTTTAATTGACTTTTTTAAATACATATTTTAGCTTTTATATCACTCTTATCATTTTTACTTTCTTACTTCTTCAATATTATGATACTTATTTTATTTTTTTATATTATGAACTTATCTATAAAACAAATGAATATATTTTTACACAAAAAAAAAAAGCGTCATTGATAAAATATTTTTTTAATTGTAAACTGAAATTGATTTAATTTTTTTAGTAATCAAACAAATTTTAGAACTCAACAACAATAACATATTCGATGAAATCCCACAAGTGAGGTTTGGGAATAGTAGAACATACGTAAATTTTACCACTACCTTGTAAGGATAGAGAGATTGTTCTCAAAACACCATCGCGTAAGTGCAACAAATTCAAATACGAAGAAGAAGACAATAAAAAGAATAACAACATAACAAGTAAAAGGTAAGGGGCATCTCCAACCCTACACTCTATTTTACTCTCCAACTATAGAGTTCTCTATTTTTTCATACAACCAACTCCAACCCAATTTTTTATTTTACTCTCTAAAAATGAATTTTTTTCTCTCTCCTCAATATTATATTATTATTTCTATTTCATTCTTATTTTCTTATTTCATAGTATAAATCCTTTATTTCTTTTTCCCAATAATTACTTTATATAATTTTCATGTGATATCATTTTTTATTTTTTTATTTAATATAAAATTATATTTTATTCTAAATTTTAAATAACATAAATTGGAAGAAAATACTATATAACATACAAATCCAAATAAAAGTGAAATACAATTACATAAACACTCAATTTTCAAAATTATTACGTTGCTCCCATAAATTCTCTATTAATGCATTACGGAGTTCAAAATGAGCATTTTTGTCCTTAATTTTTTATGTCTAGCTAGAAGTTGTTTAAATCGGAGATTTTCATCTACCACCATTTATGTCGTTGGAGTTGGAGCCTCTACAACATCTTGAATTGGTGTATTAAGATCACGTTGATCCTCAATTATCATGTTGTGCAGTATAATGCATGTAGTCATTATATCATGTAGCACTTTCTTTCTCCAAAAACGTGACAATCCTGCAAAAATTGCAAAACGTGATTATAAAACTCCGAATGCACATTCAACATCTTTTCGGCATGATTCTTGTTTCATCGCGAATTAATTATTATGTTATGTATTGTATTTTATTTTACATTTAAATTATTATGTTATGTATTGTACTGTTATCTTGTATTTTAATTATCATATTATGTGTTGTATTTTTAAATTAAATTTTTCATCTTATCATTTTAATTTTGTGTATTCTTTATAGTGAAAACTAATAATAAAATCAAATTATATTATCGACGGAAAAAAAAAATACTATTAATTTGGGATGAAAGTAGTATATATTAAATAATATATTTTTTAAAATATTATATTACATTTAAAAGAAGTATGAATAGTAGATATTTAATTAATGGCATTATATGTAAAATAATATGTTAATTAGAAAGTAATAGAAATAATAATAAAATATTCAAAAAGTGAAATAGAGAGTGTGAATAGTAGTTCTTCAAATTTGGAGAACTACTATTCACCTCTCTAAATATGAAGAATAGAGGGTGATATAGAGTTGGGTTGGAGTGTCCATTCTCTATTTTACTCTCCAAATATAGAGAATGGAGAGTAAAATAGAGATGGGTTGGAGATAGTATTATCTATGTATATCTCAAATTTAAGAATTCATTTGAGAATACATAAATAATCTTTTAGGGCCTATTTGGAAAGTCACCCTGGTAATTGGATTTGGTGTAATTGGATGTAATTGCATTATCTTTCCTGTTTGATTGGCCATTTAATTACCTGATTAGCAGATAGTAATTGACAGAGGTAATTACACTCTCCAATTTACAAGGGGGGCTGTGAATTGTTGGTAATTACATGATGTAATTATAAGCTGATTACTTTTAAATTTCTTCCTTTTATTTCTATTTTTTTATTTTTTTCGTTTGAATGTATTTTTATTTTTATTATTTTAAATTCTTTTTAATTTTTATTATCTAATGTTTTCTAAAAATATATTTTTTACTTTATATTATTTATATTTCATTTCCTTCTTATTCTTAGCCTTTACTTCATGTGATTCCATGCAATTTTTCGTATTATCTATAAAAAAAATTAGTGTAATTTTATTAGTATTCTAGTTTTTAAATTAAAGTAGAATTCATTGTTGAAAAAAGTTATGGACTTACGTTTTCCTTTTATTTTAAATCATATTTATGTATGTTATGTTGAAATTTGACATAACAGTATTATGTTAAAAAAATTATTTTGAATTTAGAACTTATGTTGTATTTTCAATTTCATTTGTTTTAGGAGTACTCGATATTTTATATATGTAGCTATTTTTTTAAGTTAAACTTGATAGATTATCCTTTCGCCAAATGTTTTATAATTTTATGACATGATATTTATAATATATTTTTTTGGTCAAACATGCATTTCATGTTGTTCATAGAAATTTTGTACTTTTAATTTCTATGATTAATTTAATTAAAATATACTAAACTGAAAAATATAAATCAATTATTTTTTATAAATATTATTTATAAACATATGTTTATTAATTTATATATTTTCAAAAGAAAATATATATCTTAAATACTCAACTTAATATCATTTATAAAGGTCCTTATTTGTCTAATATAAATTTTTAATTTTAAATAATTAATTTTAATTTTTAAAATTCAATATAACCTTATAATTACACGTGCACAACTAAGCAGTACACTTGTAATTACTGCAAACAAACATGTCAGCGTAATTATTAGGTTGTGTAGGTACTAAAGAGAGGAAGTGAAGCTTAAATAACATATTTATTTACATACATAATTAATGCATTGTTAAGATGACAATCATAATATGTAAAATTGTGAATATATACACCTTCAACTTTTTACCTATTTGGTCCCCCATTTTGTCTGATTCAATCTACCTTATATATATTAGCTTCTTGAATTTTGACATTTCTATTTGTTTCATATTTTGAAAGCTAGCTCTTGAAATTTTAATCAGTACTAGAGAGAAATTTTGCTCGGACTCTTCTAAAATGTCAAGGGGTGCGTGTCGGATTCGTCAAAAGTAGTGTATTTTTGGAGAATCCGATATGGGTGCGGCATCGAAAGTGAAGATTCCGCGCAACTTAGCTAGAGAGACATCACTTGAATATAATCTTGGTAATACATAGCCATCATCACCTCAATAACTCCAAACTTATAGTACAAAAAATTATGGGGAGAAAACTAATAAAGATTCACCTTTTTTCAGTAACAACACATACTAAGGACAAAAATCATCCTTACAACAATTATTGGTCCAAAAGTATTATTGGATGTTATAAAGTCACTGCTCTATTCTTGTTTATGTGACCATCTAGCTGAACTATGGAAAGCAAGAAATTGTTGTTGGTAATAATTTTGTTTATACTTTTAGTTTTTGAAAGAGGGGCGTCGACGACAGTTAGTTATGATCACAAGGCATTGGTAATTGATGGAAAGAGGAGAATTTTGCAATCAGGATCAATACATTATCCCAGAACTACACCTGAAGTGAGTGTTTTCTTCTTATATGGCAATGTGGGGTGTTCTCTTTTCTTCTTGATTTTCAGTTTGACAATATGTAACATGGATTATAAAGGGGTTCTCTTTTTGAATGTAGATATGGCCAGAGATCATTAGAAAGGCTAAGGAAGGCGGATTGGATGTGATAGAGAGTTATGTTTTCTGGAATTATCACGAACCTGTCAAAGGAGAGGTATGAAGTCATTTCAATTTTGTGTTTTTACGCGAGTTTGATTGGTCTCCCTTACGATGCTCACTAGTTGGCATTTATCTATCAATTTAGCACATAGGAAGTTGTTTTACCTCATTTGGGGCAATGCAATTATTTGTTAAGACATAGAGAGAGCAGTGTCAATTGTAGTTATCACTTCCTACTCTTGCAGTACTACTTTGAAGGCAGGTTTGACCTTGTACGGTTTGTGAAGACAGTACAAGAAGCTGGCCTATACGTGCATCTCCGTATTGGTCCATATGCCTGTGCTGAATGGAACTATGGGTTAGTTCATCACAGCAAACTCATTTTCTTATTTTTATCATGTACATCATAACAGGGTCTTAACTTTTCGTCTTAATATCTCCGTCCTGTTCTCTGAGCAGGGGCTTCCCTATGTGGCTACATTTTATCCCTGGAATACAGTTTCGAACAACAAATGAACTTTTTAAGGAAAGTGTTGACCAGCAATCATGTTTTGCTTTGGAGGATAACTATCTAAAATTACCATGTTCTCTTCTCAATTTTCTGTTTCTTTTCAATTATTTGGTCCTATTAAATGTTCAATAGTTGAAGAAACCTGAATTTTTTTCAATGCAGAATGAAATGAAACTCTTTCTTGCCAAGATTGTTAATCTTATGAAGGATGAGAATCTCTTCGCTACACAAGGAGGTCCAATTATTCTGGCTCAGGTTGTTTAATCCTCTCTTCTTTTTTGATAGTTCACCATGTAACCTCTTCTTGTTACCAATTTTGTGATGATGGATGTCTTTGTGGTAGTTCAGATCTTCTTCCTGGA